AGCCCTGTCTGCTCTGCTTGCAAAACAGGACCACTGTTGTGAGAGTGATGAAGATGTAAATGTGGGGCTGTTGTCTGGGAGATCTGATTAACCTGTCACCTCGAGTTGCAACTTACATCACGCAGGCACAGTTGACAACATGCCCAGACTGACCTGCCCCAAACCAGACCACTGGTTTAATGCCAGTACAAACATCACCACCGCACCGCTAATTAAAGCTATTTATTTAAGATCTGATGCCACCTTCTCTGCACTGCACCCTACAATCTCTGTTTTCCAAAATCATGCACATCATAGACATGTGGCTGTGAAGTCAAATGAAAAAGTCATGTAAAGACAAATTTTTTAGAACAATAACACATGGACACATGGCAGTTTTGATAGATTGATGGGAACTTGTGTCTGTAAACACTTGAGTGAGTTATCTATGTCATGAGCAATCCCAGTGTGGTGCCACCACTTCTAAAACTTTTAGTAGACCTGTTTGTCTTTATCATGGACACAATACTGACAATCTTTCCAACTCCCATCTGGTACAGAGGGACCTCCATTGTCTCCGAGCTCCCTCTCTCGCCCCAGCACGGGAATCAGGGCGGGGTCTGTCAGAGACAACACAAAAGAAATGTCACCACTCTGAGAATGAAGTGCCAGCCGAGGAAGGTCTCTCTCCTTTCTCTGTCACTATGCATCTCTACAGGGGTGCAACTGGTAGCTGACAAGACTGTTGGAGTCATCCCTGGCTGGGCACAGCTTCAACTTCAGCTCTCTAGCCCCTGCTGGCCCTGAGTGACCCGTGGGTTTGATGACAGACTGGACCTTTTGTGTAGAAGCGGCCTGTCCAGGTGAGGACAACAGTGGATGACAATGGCAGGAAACATAAAGCCGATAGAGGCTGGGAGACAACCCTACGGGGTCATGGGTCAAACTGGACAGCTGAGTGATGAGTGCAGCTGTGAACACGTGGACCTCCTTCTCTGCCCTTTTAACTCTGCTTGCCATGTCAGCTGATGTTTCCTTTGTCTTAGGATAAAGACCTCACTAACTTTCAGCACACTGGAGAAAAGTAGTAAACACGGACAACAGATGTATTACGCCACAAATTCTGATTGTACAGCTATGACAATGACATCCATCCCAACCTGTACAGTGTTATAAGCTCCTTTTCAAGAGGTCACTAGAATACAATTACAACAGGACACTTGTCAAAAATTATTTTTAAACTGTGAATTAGTTTATTTTTGAACTAAGGTAGAAACTAAATATAAAGAATGTTACTAAACATACAAGAAACTAGATATTATCTAACTTTAACATAAAACATCTATTGTTTAAAAGAGAGAAAACCTAGTTGTACGCATTTATTTATGTAGTCCATTATCACAGCAAGCTTTGCAGTGTAAGATAGTGTAGTCCGTCATTGCTTATTCTCATTTGGTATGAATCCAAAATGCTGCTAATTTGCAGCAGTTCCAAGGATTCAGTAACAAATTTGTTCAGTCTTTGTTGTCCTCCATTCTATAATCCGAGGAGAACAGCAACTGTAGCATAAATAAAGAGGCCTATTTTAAACCTTGTAATGTATTACCACCCCAGTGCCTCCAAACTACACCCTGTTCACACATCCTGAGCTGTCCAACTGTTTCCAGTGCCAAAGGTCAATGACTGCCTACTCTCCTACTGGCCCACACTCAGAGATGGGAAGACAGGGTTGCCAAGTCAGGCACAAACCCTGCTTTGGATCATAAACACCTCCGTCTGTCTACCCTCCTCTTTTCTACTCCACAGAGGTGAGTTAGGTTTTCACTCTGTTAATCTTTCACTTCAGGCCTTCTCGCTTTTACATTGGCCCACTGGAGAACATAGAAGGGGAATGAAAGAGGGGTAGTAAAGGATAAGAATGGATAAAAGAGCAGGAAGAAAAAGCCATAGAGAGGGCCAGATGGGCACCTTCACAGTCCATTTATCAAACCCAATGTGGCCCTCCCCTCCCCTCCCTACTGCTCTCATGTCCTAAACCCCCATGTAATTCTGTAATGATTTTCATTATCATATAATGACCTTACAAAGCCTACAGCAGTTTGCATGGTCAGTACAAAACTCGCAGCTGTTCCCTTCAGTATTTGCTTGCTGGCTGTGACAAAGCTTTTTGTTGTTGTTGTTGTTGTTATTTTTTCTAATGCCCAGAGCAGTGACCTCTAGGTTTTGCAAGGTCAGCATGAGGTCACCTCATCCAGGATATTCAACAGTAGCCACACTGTAAGCACACAGACTGAAGACAGCGTCTAAAAATGCATAATGAGCATTGACAGCAAGATAAAACAAAACAATTCTCTAAATATACTGCAGAAGACTGCAGGCTGAAGAATTTTCTGTGTATGTACTTCCAGTGTGGATCCTTCATTACCTTTGTTAAACCAAAAACCTTCCCGGTGCCACTGGGATGTGCCATTTTCTATCCTAATGGAGCTGCTCCCTAGAGGTTGCGTCTTGCTCTTCAATCTGCACTTCCTGTGTGGCATACTGAACTGCTCTGCTGCGGCACAGTCACCCACCCATATAATAATCCATCTATTTCCAGGGTACTCACGGGGCATTTACCAAAGGGACATGGAGGGCAGCATCTATCAAAGAATTCACCATGTGCATCAGGAAAACCCAGTTACCAGAAAAGCTCATAAGAATAAAAAAGCTCTCATAACTTCGTTGGCTCAGAGTGAATGAATGGACTGCTTCCACTAGCACGGTGAGAGCAGGCATCACTCACTCTGAGTGCCTATAAGTCAATGGTGAAGAACCACTGGTCACCGGCTCCAATTCCTCTTTCTTTCCTTCTTGCTTGTACTAAAAATGGCTCGCAGGCAGACAATGGCAGCTGGTAGGCCGAAGTTCCACAGCAAAGAATGCTACTTTAACTGGTGTTTTAGAAACAAAAGTCAGTGAGAAACTTAATCAATCAGCGCTGCTTGTTTATGTTTATGGGCCTCTAGCAAAAGTCATCAATCATGCTTTTTTTTTTTTTTTCCTTTTTCCATTATATTTTTGCAAGTATTATATGCTGAATGGAAACCATGGAAACAAAAGGCAGTGTTATGATGAAAGCTTGCCTGTTGAATATTGTGTGGAAACCTAATTAGAACGCTAAATATAAAAAAGCAACAAAATGAATCAGCAAATTAATTTTAGTCCTATTTTAGTGAATGCTTTTATGAAAATAAATGATGGTTTGAATACATCTGACTGGAGTGCACTACAATTCCCTCACTCTGCGTCTTCTGTAATAAAGTGCTTCTTTAATTCAAAATAACGACTTTGCCTCTTAGTAGTATGCATGAAGAAATTAAAACTTTTTCATGCTCAACAAAGTCGAACAATCCCTGACCCTCATCAAATTGCTTATCAGTACCAGTACTTCCCACTTAACATTGCGCATAGCTATGTGTTTAGTTTTGTGAAAATGCTATCTGTTGACAGCCACTTGACAGCATGACCCCTGGCTTTTCTGTAAGAGAGGGTGGTGTAGTTTAGGGATAGACATAGAATGTGTGTAAGGGGAAGAAGAGGTATCAGGAGCAGCTGGAGTTCAAACATATTGTGTGGGACATGTGCCTTCCACCAAAACTAATCTAATCAGTCTTTCACTGCTGATAGAGTAAACGTCTGTCTGCTCTGCCGGCAAGGGCTGAGCATTTCCTGTCCCAGCCAGTGATGCTGGTTGTCAGCATCTTAGGGTGGGCTGAGCAAAATGTAGGGTCAGACATTGTTAGCTGGTGGTAACATCACATTGTGGGTGGTGCGGGAGAACTGCGATGGTAGGGGACAGTTCTGATGTTCACTTGAGGGTGGGGGTGGCGAGATGGTTTCTAGCTTTCAGCACATGCCGCTGGAATGCACTATCAGAGCAGGCCCTACATCAGAGTTGTGAGGCACTGGGCGTTGACACAGCAAAGCAAGGTGTGTGGAAACAGCCTGTTTACAAGACTCATCTGGATGGGACAAATCTAAGGGTCAACTAGAGGGGACAATGCAAAACATAGAACAGAAGAATAGAGTGCCTTAGAAATATGAGGGCGTAAGCACAACAGGAATTTAACATGAAGTTTTCAAAAGAAAATGGATTTGTAGCCTTTGAATTATCTTCCTGCCGCTTTGCTTTCACTAAGTTTAGTGAAATGTCTATTCGCACATATGGGTTCTTGTCCGCATGTAACTCTGAGGTCAAAACTATTGAAAGAGACAATAAAGAGTATAGCAAATGTGAATGTAGTGGTCATGTGTATATGTAGTGTTTGTATGTGTCCGTGTATGTGCTGGCGGAGAGAGTAAATGGCTAAAACGAACAGCTAAAACAACACTGGTGCATGTGTGAGGCCCTTCTTTATCTGAATGGATAACCGACGTTCTAACCCCTGTGCTCTCCTTCTTTATCTGGAGGGAAGGAAGTGATTGGGCCTATCCAAGACACATGTGTCATTGTGATAACTGTGATAACCGCCAGGCCCGAGGACCTCAAACCAACACCAACCACACCATTGCATATCTCTGGAATTCACACCGATTCACTGAAAATGAATGATCAATGCACATTGAAGCTATGTAGGCCTGATGTGTCACCTTTTGCAACTCGTTTTTATTTTGTTTGATGGTGTGATCACAGTTAATAAATCTCTTAACTGAGAACTAGATATTGACACATTTTACTACTGCAACAACACTACACGAGCTATAATAATAGCTCTGGGTTTGCAAGTGAAATGAGGTGAAATGAGATATTATCTTTGCTTTCTCCCTTGGTTTGTGTAATCTTGAGGAAATCACAGCAACATGCATGCATTACTTATATTTGATCAAATCAGTTTAGAAAATTAATAAACGTTATTATTGGAGTGTGATGGCATTTCCATTTAAAATAGGGACTCATAACTGATAGACTACATATCAACAGATGTTTGTTTTTTTTGAAGATCAATGGAAGTAACAAAGTTGGTGGTATATTGTGTTACCTGTCTCTCCATGTCTGTCTTTGCTGGTGTCTGTCTGTCAAAGCAGACAGCAGGATCTCTGCCATCTCCCTCCTTCCTTCTTCTGCTTGGTCTTCCTCCTCCACTGCAGCCAGGAAAAGCATAGTCTGGATAAAAAACAGCAGCAGAAGTGGAAATAGGTGGTTCAAAATAGAACTGAATGGAAATATGTGAAATACCAGTAGAAATGTGAAAACTTCAGTAGAAAGTGGACAGGTAGAGAAGCACCATTAAAAAGTGCTTTAAATAACAGTGGTTGTTTAAACCCCACTACAGTGATTTACTCTATTAAATTCTACCCTAAATACTAAACAGAAAACTTGCAAAATTGGGTAGAAAGACCTGAAGTGAATCCTGGCGTGCTTGTGCTTCTATCCTTAGTTTAGAAATTGCACAGCTCTGAGCCAAGACTCAATTATACCATCCCTAGGATGACAGCATGCAGTAAGTCTAGTATAAAGTCAGTTTCACATCAGAGGATGGGCAAATTACACCCAATATTAGAGTGTGAGTCAATTAATCACGTCCTGCACAGCACAGTGTAATGTGTGAGTATCCCCCTGTTGAACATGAATTACAGGCTGGCTTAAAGTGTGACGTGGCACATCAGTGATAATCGGAGACATCCCTGCAAACCTTCGCCTCCAAGTCCTCCGCAGCCTCTAAGCTGGTTGAGAAGGAGTCAAATGAAAAAGGATCTGGCAGCCCAAATTAAATGCAGTGCTGTCAGCCACACTCAAATCCCTCTTTCCCTTCACCGTCTCCCTCTTCTTCTCTACCCTTCACAGACTCTCTCCCTCTCTGAATATCCTTAAATGTCTCCCCCCTCCTTTGCCAAGCCTCTGAGAAGTGATGGATCTGTAACTCTGACTGACTCTGACGCCTTGTTAAGAACAGTCTCTTCCTGTCACATCCACCAGTCAAGCACGTTCATTTCTTCCCATTAACAGTCACTCGCTTCCCCAGTCATCCAACCTTCTTTTCAAAAAACCCACTATGTAAGGGAACCTTCATTTCTTCCCCTCACCCTGTTTTTTAATCCCTTTCTGACAATACACCTGTCTGTCTTAATTCATGTGAAGATACGTTTGATTGTCTCTCTGTGTGTGCGTTTCCAAAGGAGAGCAGTAATATGCTTACTTTCTCTACAGCACACAGGACAGGTGTCAAAACATGTGGTGGTGTGTGACTGATTATACCTGACTCAGAGGAGACACCAAAGATTAAGGTGACCAGGAGGAGGCAGGGCCGGCTGTACTCCCTATGGAAACTGTGCCTTTCAGTTTGGATCAAACCCTGTCCTCCTGGGATGAGTGACAGGCTAAGAAAGTGCCAGAAAGTGTATTCAGACTGTATCACCATCTCAGCTGGTAGACATCACATTGCCATGCTGACCGTGTAGCACAACGCTGAAGAGAAGTGATTCACAGTTGATCTGAAACTTGCTCTAAGGTGCTTCTAAGCTTGCTTCAACTCTTCCCAAAGCTGACTTTGGATCAAAATGAATAACAGGGAAAGACTGCACATCCATCCATCCTTTTCTGCTTCCAACTGCCAGGGGTTGGAGCTTTCATAGGGCCACAGGCAGGGTACACCCTGGACAAGTCCAGCCTATCGTAGCCACATTATTTTCAAAATGCTAAATTATGTTGCATACACTTTACTCAAGTGAATCTTTGTTTTTTTTCACCCAACTCAATAATTCCACTAAACACTACCTAAACAACCTCTGCTTTTGTTGGGGTGTGTATATATTTATGAGTGTGTATCGAAAGCTTCTATTTGTTCTCTACAAATTTTTGTGAGTACAGTGTAGATTTTTGTGAGTAGAGGTGTCCCTCTTATAATTTAAATCTGTGTTAGCAAGCCTCTTCCCCACAAAAATCGGTGAATGTCTGTTTGCACGGATAACTTTGTGCATGTATGATCTAGTGTTTAGAAGACCCAGTGCTGAGAGAGGCCTTCAGGTTTAGCCCCAGGCTGATCCCCGGGCCATTTAGACACCCTGCTGGTTGTTTACTGGTCAAGCCCAACCTCAGTCAGACTCAGCCAGATCACAGTCCTTTATCTCTGGGTCTGTGTTAGGACTAATCAGCCCCCTCTTTTCTTGTATTTACCCTTCGATGACAGTAGCTGTCCTCAGTCTACACCTCTCTCAACCTGACGCTGACCACAGATGTCCCCCTGACCCAGGCCACATTACAAGGTGAATGAGAGGACAAGACGTTCCTTGGTACTCTTTTCATTGGTCCCCAGACCCCATATTCAACCCTGTCTATTTTACTAAAGTTAGGCATAAACATTTCCGGGCCTGTGCAGAGGTGGGGAAGATAAACAAACATGCAGCCAAGCTGAGGTGATATTTTGGTTAGTGGAGAGCTAGAGTGATGATAGTGTTCCAAGCGAAGGCTGGCTGGAGGGCAGCCTGGGGCAGCTCACTAACACCTCGAGCCAGGACTGTATCTTAACACCAACAAGCATCTGTCTAGTCTATCACATAAGGGCATGTCACTCATTCAACATAGAATAATACAATAGGAAGATTGTTGCTGCACATAGAACAATATGATTTAGATCCTTTATAATGCAACAGAGGAGCTGTGAGTGGTCACATAAGAGCTAAGAAGCTGAAAGGCAAGAAGGTTAAAAAAAAAGATGCATGCACAACTGAAAGTTTGCACTCCATAAACCAGACCTACTAGCTGACCACCAGAGTGTCAGAGAAACTCTTAACACCCAATGAAAATGCCTTAGCTGACTTTATCCCAGGACTTTCCGGGTACTCCAAGTACTCTTAAGCTCACTGGCACTCTCTTTTAGGGAACCTTTCATGTCTGCAGGCCACAAATGCTTCAATTCCAAAATGAGCTCCCTTATTAACTTGTTTAAAAGACAGAGGTGAATTCTAGACGAGAACACCATCTAGATGATGACTAGATACCTAAAATAGGAAGGAGGTAAACAAACTCACAAGTAACACTAAACATTCCAGAAATTTGGCTGGTGGCTGGTGTTAATTTGCCACAACAGTGCCTCCCAGCCTAACTGCACCTCTGTCATACTGGCAACCTCCCCATAGGTCTCCTTGCCACTAGCATGTGTAACAGCCCAGCAAAAAGCCAGCAGACTCCCCAGTGTTTCTGTTTGCCAACATCTCACTGTGCCCATATGGAGGCAAGAATGGAGATAACTAGTAATCCTACTGGTTGTGACTGTTAAGCCATCACTGTGGACTTTAAACACGATCCGGTCTCTATTACATAGTATTTCTATCATTTCAAAGGGTTTTTTATTGAGTGACTCATATTTGAATACTCCATGTGAAAATTAGGAAAATAATGAAAAAATAAAGGCGGTGCGGTCTGGGTTTGAATCCAACACCTGGCTGGTGGAGTTTGCATGTTCCTACTGTTGGTATTCCGGGTTCTCTCCGGGTACAAGATTAGGCTAGGTTATTGTCAATTCTAAATTGGCCATAGGTATTAATAACACTAAATTTGATAAAAGGAAGAGTATGGCTGGGTGAAAAAAATTTATATTTTTGTTGATAATTAACAGAAAGTGGTGGAACTCTTGCAAAGCTAAATGTTTCTGTTCAACAGGACAATGAGTCAGAGGTCTGCTAGTTTGAATTCTGAAAACGACTGACTTACAAGTGATAATAGTGCCGGGGGAATATAATTGAAAAACATACTAATATTGTATAAATGACAAAGATCTACCTTTTCAGACACACACAACAACAAGAAAGTTTAAAGTCAAAATTCATAATATAAATGTTGCTATATGCCAACATTTCTCCTTCTCGCGGCTGTATGTTACGTGTTCTCTTCTGTTCTCTCTCATTTGTCTTCTTTCAGATATTGTCCCCTTCCCTTGTTCATAAAAAGGTGTTTCTTTTTTTATTGTCAGTTTCTCTTGCAAGCACTCACATCACTTTGACGCAAGTTATTTTAAAAAATGCATTAACATCAACGGCTCACACAAGCACACACACACACGCACACACAAAACCACACACTTCCTTTTCTCTCAGCTGTTTAATTTTTACTGTCCCCTTCCCACACCAAATCCAGCGTAGCACTCCCGTTGCATGGTTAACACATTAGCAAATATATCAGGTTTTAAGATTTAACCCTTTTCTCCACATCTCCAGACACTCCATGGACTTTTGTGACAGTTTAAGTTCAGCTGCTCTGACACCTGATTTCATAGGCCCTAGCAATGAGAGTATGACAGACCCTTAGCTGCTTTCATCTCCCTCCTTACTCTAATACAAGAAACCAATATCACTTTGACCGCTGGTGGAAAAAGGCATTGAGCACCTTGCTCACGGGAATGGATAGTTTCTGGTGTCAGATGTAAACAACTGGGG